TGTGCACAGGTGAGTTAACTTTTTTGTGGCTGCTAAATTTTGGTTTACTTCTTTTCGACTTGTGAATTTACAATATGGACCTCTCATCCGTCCCTGTGAATGCTTTTATGTTTGTTTCCGCTGATGGTGGACTAGTTTTCATGTCTGTCTGCTTTAGAGTGTACTGTAGGAGTTCTGGAATTTAAATTGCTATACATTTCTCTTTCCTCTCTAAAACTGCAGTTTCAAGTTTAATGTTCTTGAATCATTCCAAATTCATCTAACTCCTGGCTCACAAAAATATCATTACTTTATGACCTGTTTCAAGTTTAATTTTTTTGAATCATTCCTAATTCATCAAACTCCTCAAAAAAACATCATCAGTTTATCTCTTCGTTAAATTTGGTAGTTGCCTTTTTAAGGTGTTACAAAACATTTTTCGATGTTTATGTATTAGCTTGTAATGTTAGCTCTTTCAGTGTGGAAACAACAATTGCTAGCGTTTGCTGGCTATCTGAGATGAATAGCTGGGACTAGATGTCCCGGTGCCATTCCTTTTATGGGGCGTAAATTTTAGTAAAGCTAAACAGCCCGACTGCTTAACATAGCTAAACTTTTTGTGTTCTCATATCAACTGAAAATTTAGACTTCTTCTGTTCTTCATCATAGCCACTTCCTCTAGACTTAGATGCCATTAGGGCAGAGATTGATTGGATGCTTGATATGTAGATGTTGCTAATGTTCATCACCTTCAAGCACCATGGAGGTGGGTTAGTGTATTATTATTGCAGTTTAACAATAAGCTACTTGGGTTTTATTTGTGCTGAGGTTATATGGTAGGATGTTATTAATAGTTTCATCATTATTTCTCTTAAAGTGATGAGCTCATTAACAGCCCTATATCTTTTTTAATTTAAATACTGTAGGGAGATCGATCCAAAAAGGTGGGAGTAGTTGATAGTGAATATGTAGTTCACCAGAGTATTCAAACTTTGGGTGGGCAATCTTTGAAAAAGGTATTTTTCCTCCATTATTGAAGGCTAAAGGCTCATTTTTTGCGATTCTCATTAATCTTCTCAAGTATATCAGATAAGCTGTACTTACAGTCTACTACAGATAGAAGCTACGGTATAATCGTGTTGTTTGCTTCAATCTACCTACGTTAACCATACTCTTGTCTTTGTGCAGGATTCAAACCCTGAAGAGTCTGTGAAGGTATATGCCATTCTACTCTGTGCTTCGGCAGTTTGATTTTCTCAATATATATATATATATATATCTGCTGCTGATGTTTTTGCTAATTCTTGTCCTTGATTTTCATTCTCATTTCCTTTGACCTACAGAGACACGTTGTTGACGTGAGATCTGAGGTGAGAGTCTTGCTTTGTACAATTTTGTATTTTCGTCCATTCAGTTATCTTTTGTATTTGATGACATTTCTAAGCTTTGCATGGGTATAGCTATAGCATCCATTGCTCTTGTTGTCTGCATTACAATCTGCCTTCCATCTAAGCTTATTTTCCGCTATCATCCCATTTTACAGATTCGGAGACAATCAACGTATGAACTGCAAATATTCAAGGACCGGTGGGCACGAGCTGTGAAGGAGGACAAAAAGTGGTCAGATCCATTTAAAACAAGGCAGAGACGTAAGCAATGGTATGAACAAAGGAGAAAATCAAAGGTTAGGCGTAGATGAGGTTTACAGGTTATCTGAAGTTCAATCAACGGGCATTCAATCACAACTGTTCCTACCAGATTCATCATACCTTGCAGTTTGTTCTTAAATTAGTCCCCATAATCAATGATTAGTTCATTATTTGAATAGGTTTAGTTTCTCCTAGTTTTTGTGCTGAATGTATTTATTAATTTTCTTCTTTAACATTTTTCTCTCGATTCTCTTACATGTACATCATTTTTTTGTAACTAGGCTTGGTTGGTGACCTCATATTGCCGTTGGTTTTAATTTCCATTTTCTTGTCTCGTAGGGACTAGGGAAGTTTTCTTTCAAATCGTGAGCCTTGGTCTTATGGGTGAATCTGATAACGTAGAGGAAAATAAATATCACAATATTGAAGTTACACTTGAAAATTGATAATTGAGAGGGCATAAAAGTTTTTTTTTTTTTTTTTGGGCAGAAAAGATTTATATCTGCAGTTAGAAGTTAATTTTATATTCCCAACAACGTTGAGGTAAAATAGCCTCATCTCAATTAAAAAAGACAATGAAAAAAGTAATGAAAAAACAAACGAGACGACAGCTGCCATAGTCAAAGATCATCTATAAGGGTAATCCTACTTGGAAAAAACCAAATCTAACATCCTAAGATTGACGATGAAATCGAATATTTCTGTTACTGGTTACTATTGAAGGATTTACTTCCCTGGATAGGAGAGCATGCAAGTAGAGATTAGGTAGAAGATTAGCCAGCTAGTCGAACGATTTATTTCTTTTTTTTGTACGAAAATATGACTAGTTTATTGCGGATTAAGTAGAAGGTGAGTAGCAGAGGCGGCTTAACAAAATCGGTGGCCTAAAGCCAAACCTTGATGAGTGGCCTTAAGTTATTTTTTCTATAAAAAAAAAATTAATCCATTGTACTTCTTTATAGTTAACATTATTATATATAAATAATATAACCATTTAGAAAAGAATCAAGTCTTTTTATATGATTGAGTATATTGATTAGAGTATTATCTTTTACTTATTTTAGCTTTCTTGCATACTTTTAATTCAAAAAATAAGTCTAAACCATCAATATCTTTCGTCGTTAAGGCAATGTATTTCCAAAATCTCGTCACCTAGTTATATCAAATTCTTATACTTCTAAATAGGAAACCAAAAATATTTTCATACGTTTCTAATTGTTCAAAATTTGAAGATTTATTTTCTTAGTTTATTAAAAAATATACTTTTTTTTTTACTTCAAAATATTCAAATTTTTAAAATTTAATTCATATACCTACTACTACTGAAAAATGGGGCCCCTGAAATTTTAGAGCCTAAAGCACTTGTTTTACTTGCCTTATGCTTCAGCCGGCACTGGTTAGTAGGTAAGCCAAATAATTTATCTCTTCTCTGAATTTATGTGGGAGAGCATAGTTCTAATTTAGAGCATTATTATTATTATTATTATTATTATTATTATTATTATTATTATTATTATTATTATTATTATTATTATTATTATTATTATTATTATCTTTTTTAAAAAGAAAAATTATTACTAGTGTTGTTTTTTTTACTTTGTGTATCTTTATTTTTTTGTTTTTCTTTTCATTAGTATTTTCATCTTAGTTTTTTCTCTTGTATTTTTCAAACCTGTTTTGAAAATATTTTTCGTGAGCCGAGGATCTATTGCAAACAGCCTCTCTATCTCGCACAAATTTTTTTTTTCTCTACCTCACACAAGTTAGAAGTAAGATATGTGTACATCCTACCCTTCCAGATCTTGCTTGTGGGATCACATTGAGTATGTTGTTATTGTTGTTGTATCGAAGGATTTGCTACTATAGGATTTATTGATTTGTAATTCTAACGTTGGATGTACGATTAATTACAACTATTGAATGTGAAGTTCTAGATTGCCAAAAAATGATAGGAATGAACTCTGCTTTTTGACTCGTGATTTACTCACGAAATTATATATGGTTTGATAATATTTTCGCGTCTTACTAATTATATTATGGATTAATTATTTGTCAGGAGTATTACTCTATACCGTTGTCTTTTTGAGACAGTTTTAGAATGAATGGAGTCACTGAAATGAAACCCAACTTTGGGTTTAGTCAGGGGCGTATTTACATGATGGCAACACCGCTTCGTCGAATTTTTTTACTATTTGTATATATAAATATAATAAGTAAAACAGAAATACAAGATAAAACTATTAAAAGTGACACCACTTGCAACAAAACATCTTAGTAATCTAGTGGTTGTTAGCTTCAAGTATTATGTGAGAGGTCTTGGGTTTGAACTCCCTTGGTTCTGCAAAATATTTTTTGACTGTTACAGCCCTTTTACTAGAAATAGTGACACCACTTATAAAAAATCCTGCGTACCCCTTGGTTTAGTGATGTCTATCGTTGAAAATTCCGATAATTTTGTAATCTGTTTTCAGACAAATGAATTGTAAGAAGTATGGACAATAACATTCTGGCTTTGTCTTAAACATTAGTATGTTTGTTTGAATTGTTGTCAATCCCCCATTATTCAGTGGATTTGCCCTTTTCTTTTTATTGTCTTTAACTTTGCTGGAAATTTTGAAAAGCATTTCCTACCACTTCAAAAATTTCTTTATTAATGTATTTTGAGTTTTTATATTATTCCTATGTTTAAAAACCTGACATATGGATGCCTAATATTATGCAGCCTCACCAAACGGTGCTATTAATTTTTCTTTTTAATTTTTAAGAATTTGGTTCGGCAAAAGTTCACACGGATATCAATCTTTGAAGACTGAATCATCTTTTGTTTTTCTTTTAATTTTGTAATATCCTCCGGTCAAAAAGATACTAGGAATAGAACTATGGCCCGTCATCACCAAAAAGTTGGTCTATTTTGATAACTGAGAAATTTCAACTTCCTTCCATGAATTCGAACAAAAATCGAAGCAGAGATGAAGGTTCTAGAAGAACGAGGAGGAGAGAAATATCGAAACTTTTACATTCAGCTATAAAAAATGATACAAGGTTACATTATTTACAATCAGTCCCACTATATATATAACTCAGGGACAAAATAATAAAAAGCAAATAATTAAACCTGCCTAATTGAGCCTGTTCTTCTAACGCAGTGTTTCTCCTTGCTCAGGTGTAAGATACGGTCTCCCCCCCCCCCC